CTAATACTATCGGGAGGTATTTATTTGTATGGCTTTGGGCGAGGATTTCTTTACTTTTTCAGAGGATTCACTTACCTGTGAAAGATTACGACAATTGATAACGGTTATGGTAACTGGATTTTCAGAATACTTTTATCCAAGATCAAATAAAATAGGTCATTTCTTGCTTGCCTACCAGATTCTCATTATACAATTATGATATAAATTCACCATTTTTGCTTTTAGCTGTTTTTTTTCATACGTATATTTCCTGCTCGTTTTCTCTTATGAGTTAAATTTACGCTTCTTGCTTGAACAATATTACTCGGATAGCGAAAAGTACGTATTGCAACTAATTGTATTTAGATTCTTGATTATTTAACTATTTGCCTGTATTTTCGTTTCTCTGATCAGGCCCACTACGCCTGCTATAAGAGCCTCCCAGTTGAATGTGATTTTGGCGTGCTTCATGACATCATGCTTCCACCCAGTGCTGTCTCTTTGCCTAGGACAAGCGTATTGATGGAGCATATTATCGGGATGATGAAACCACAACCTGAATCGATTAGTGGGGGTAAGAGGAGTGTAATGTTTCGATATTTTGTGTTTATTCTTTTGATCTTGACAGATCGAGTCTAAGTAAACAAGATTTCTTGCTTATTAAGAATAGAAAATTCCACTCTTGGGCTAATTATTTCTTTTTCTCTCCGAGATTGATATTTTTATCTATTCTTTAATTTTTTTATCCGTTCGCATTTTTTATTTGCAGATTAGTCTAGTTTTTTTACGAATACATTTTTATTGGTTTTTAATGCTTTTTCTCAAATTTATTTTTAGTTTTATAAAACAGATTCTCCACATATAAGAACTACATTTTTGACCATGTTTCTATAGACACGGACGAATTCAAAGTCCTTTTAAGACTTAATGAATTTTCTACCATAATCTTTCATCTTTACTTACCTATTCTTTCATTATTTTTATTCGCGAAAGTCATTTCATTAACCTTCATCTCCTATCTCACCACTGGATTCGTACAAAACGAATAAGACTAGCTTTTAGAAACTCAATGTATAATTAACAGTCCATTTCATAACAGCCTTTATTCATATGTAAGCGGAAGTTAAATTGATATTCCAGCTGACCTGTACCTCACTTGCATACTCCTTTTTTATTTGCTAACATTAGTTTCGGTTGCTCGATTTAATCCAGTATCATTAATTATTTCCCCATTTTGTGCCGTTGTTTATAAGCAAAATTCTTCCTAACTTCTCGTAATTACCTTTCGACTTTTTATGCTTTCTTTTTCAGTTCCTGCTCTGACAGACGAATTCTCTAGCAGTGGAGATAGCCCAGAGGAATCCGGCTTCGAAAGAAAGTCAAACCGGGACAAACCAGACCGGGATTTCGATGGTAGAGTTGATTATTTTCATCTATTTGAAATATTGTTTGGATGCTTTTTATGCTCAGCTCTATGTGATTCTTCCTGAAGCTTCTTAGAGGTAGTTATCACAAAAATACACAATTGGGTGATGTTAGGTGAAACGAGAATACATAATAGGTGAATGGGTTATATAAAGTTGAGTCGAGAAAAAGGAATGCAGCACTAGAAGGTGGGAAAAAGAGGGAAGGAGTGATGCCAAAACAGTTTAACGAAATATTGGTAAATGGAATTACCTCCACTTGTCATTGCTAAGTTGTAACTCTGTGCAAAGTATGGCTCTTCCTATTGAGGATGTCGGTGAAACGTCTGGGAATATGCCAGGTCGACTGTCCGATACTTGAAATTATCATAAATACTCTGGAAGAGGACGCAAAATTAGTTATGTTTAAAATGGTCTCCATTTTACTCCGAACAAGTTACTACGACGAATTTATCCAAAACTACACAGATAAAAGTGACTGCCAACAAACACAAGGCCACAATATCTCGGTGTTCATATCTATAACCCAATTATGGTTGAACGTTTGTGGGATAATCTATCGATTACAGCAGATCAG